GCCACTGCTGTTTCAGTCATGTAGGAATGCACAGGAGACAGGTGTCTGCATTCTCCACAAACTCTGTTACTGTGTGTGGTCAATACATGTGCACTTTAAAAAGCAATCCTAAACAAGTCTGCTCAGAATCCTAATCATATCTATTCCATGGAGCTTATTCCCAAGCAGGTGTTCTTAGGACTGCACTGATATATATGTCTATGTGAATGGGCCCATATTCCTATTTAATCATCTTGTCACACTAAAGTATACTGAGTATAAGGATGAAAACCTCGGTATCTATAACTTCTCCTTCTGAAGAACTACTGACTTCCGTTTTACAGCTGACATAAGGACCTAGTCTGGGCAAAGATCAATGTGAAGGGCTATCAAGGGATCATTTCACAAAGTGATAAGGCTCTTTAATGCAAGTTTAGAAAAAACACTAAGACATTGAATATGGTGAAATAAAAGGTAGCACGTTAGGGGAAATAATACTGTGAAGCATTCACAATAATAAGCCTGCGATAGTGATATTCATTAATACTGGCGTTCCCAGGAGGTTGTGTGTTGATTTTACAGTTGCTGGTCAGGTGTGAATATGACACTGCTGTAGGTATTGAGAGTTTGGTATGAAATCCCATGAGTTCACCCATTTATCTTGAAAGCTCTCCTAAGAAAAACTCATAGCAACTTAGAATATTCTGTTCTCTATTGTAATAGACAGAAAGAGGCAGTTACAGAGGACAGAATGTTGTTCTGCTTGTTTATTTCATGAGATTCCTTCTAGGGGTGTGTCCTTATTGGTATTTTTCAGATATATTTTGGCATCCCAAAAATATCCAGGATTTTTCAGGGAAACTGAAAAAAATCCAGAAAAAATCCCAGATATTTTTGGGAACTGGGAAGATCAGGAAGAACAGCTGTGAAGCAAGGAGACTGTTTCCAGCCTCTCAGCTGTTTCTCTCTCAATCTTCTGCAGTCTCATCACCCTTAACCAGCTGACTCCTCCCCCAGGTTTCTCAGTCCTTCATCAGTTTCGGACTAATGGGGGGGGGGTGTTGCTCATCTGAGAGTTCTTTTCCTTCAGGGCTCTCCTCACATCAAAAATCACCAGCATTGAATGTGTGGACCTAGTATGGAATGCTGAGGAGAGTTTGGCCTATCTGGTTGGTATACCAACCACCTAACACACCAGCAGATATCCTGCTGGGCCTGTTGGAGGCTGGGTGCTGGAGTACCCTAGGCTATTAGTCTTGGGTGGCTTCAGTGTCCATGTTGTTGGTGTGGCCCCCTCGCAGACCAGGGACTTAGTGTCATCCATGGCAGCACTGGGACTCTCCCAATTTGTATCAGCTCCCACACATCAAGCAGGCCACATCCTGAACTTGATTTTGGGGGCAGAGATAGATGTGGAGCTGGTGGCCATGGAGGCAGTGCCATGGTCAGACCACTTTGCCCTGAAGGCCTGGTTGAGCACCCCAAACCCTCCCTGTTTAGGCGGTAAGCTAATTTATGCTCACCCATGGAGACTGATGGATCCAGTTGGTTTCCAGAATGCTTTGTGGGATCCATTGCCCCCTGGTGATTTGTTAGATGAGCTAGTGGAGGACTGGCAGGGCCGTCTTTCAGAAGCCATCAACAAACTTGCATCCCGGTGCCCTCTTTGCCCCCACACCAAACAAGCTCTGTGGTACAGTCTGGAGCTTCAGAGGATGAAGTGGGAGCTAAGATGGTTAGAGTGAGGGTGGGGGCATACTCATGTCGAAGCAGCAAGGGCATCTTTTAGGATGCTTATGAAAGCCTATGAGATGGCAGTGAAGGCTGATAAGAAGGAATTCTATGCAGCATTCACTAGCTCTCGGCAGCCCAATTATTTAGGACAGCTAGGTCTCTAATTTCCCTATCACAAAGGAAGCAAAATGATAAGGAATTGGCTATTGGCTGTGAGGCATTTGTGAGCTATTTTGCGGACAAAGTCTTGTTGCTCTGCCAGGATCTCCCTGCAATGGTTGAAATAGTAAGGGAACTGGAAGCCCCTTGGCCATCTTCTGGTCCAGTATGGGACTGATTCAGCCATCTCGCCCAGGAAGAGGTTGACAAGACCATGATGGCTGTGAAGCCCAGACCCTGATGGCTGTGAAGCCCACCATGTGCCTCCTTGAACCATGTCCATCTTGGATTGTTAAAGCCTGTAGAGATCATAGAATTCAGGCTCTCCTGGAAGATATTAACCTGTTCCTATCTTCAGAGACATTCCCAAGGTGCCTCAAAGAGGCAGTGGTGCATCTGCTCTTGAATCTTTGGACCCTATCTTCCTAGTCAACTATCACCCAGTATCGAACCTTCCATTCCTGGGCAAGGTAGTTGAGAGAGCAGTAGCCGAGCAGCTCCAGGTGTTCTTGGATGACTCCTGGATCCTGGATCCTTTTCAGTCCGGCTTTTGCTTGGGCCACAGGACAGAGACTGTGCTGGTCACCCTCATGAACAACCTCCAGAGGCATCTGGATTGAGACGGGTCTGGCGCTGGTGTTGCTACTTCATCTAACAGCAGCGTTAGATACGGTTGACTGTGACCTGACTCACCGCCTTGCCGGCATGGGATACGAGATGAACAACCTCCAGAGGCATCTGGATCGAGATGGGTCTGGCGCTGGTGTTGCTACTTGATCTAACAGCAACATTAGATACGGTTGACTGTGACCTTCTGACTCACCGCCTTGCCGACATGGGATAGGAGGAACTGCCTTACAGTGGCTGTCCTCCTTTCTCCATGGTCAGGGACAGAAAGTGGCACTTGGCGAGAATGTTTCACCACGTTACCCTATGGTGTGTGGCATCCTGCAAGGGGCAATCCTCTCTCCAATGCTATTTAACATCTATGTGCATCCTGTTGCCCAGTTAATTCAGATGTTTGGGCTGGTTTGTCACGAGTACACTGATGACACCCAGCTGTATTTGCTGGTGGACTCTGTCCTGGACATTTGGCTGGGGCCCTAGGGGCTGTGGATGATTGGTTGTAACAGAGCCAGCTGAAACTTAATCGACCTATGATGGAGGTCTTGTTCTTGAGTTGTGGGGGGATGGGTCTGGGAGTGATCCTGGATGCCTGTTAGGTTCAACAGCAAGTAAATCTCCACACACGTTTCCAGGGAATTGTTATGCTTTATTAGACTACAGGTCCGTTGCCATGATCTACAGGGATATTGTTAGGAATGACAATGGGGCGGGTGCATCACTACATATAACATGATGCTGCAGTTGGCTAAGCAAATAAAATCCAAGCGAGCGCGTGGGAATTCTCCCGGCGGGAGATTACATAATGAACGGGAGAGTCTCCGTGCCTCATGAGAGCAGAAATATTCACACCAACAGTGGAACGCAAGCCCTCCCTCCTCCTCAAGGTTAGTCAGATAACCCAGTCTGGCAGCGCCAGTTCGCACAGTCCCATGAGCTGTTTACAGCAAGCGAGCAAGCAAGCATGCGCAATCATGCCACAGGCAGGAAAGGACAAATACGAATGAAACATGGCAGCTAGATGACAATGCCTCCCTTTCTATGGAGGCCCAGGTGGTTAATGTTGCCAGATCAGCCTTTTACCATCTTCGGCTGGTCAGGCAACTGATTCCCTACCTTTTATTTCGGGACTTGGCAACAGTGATTCATGCAATGGTCACTTCCAGGCTTGATTCCTGCAACTTGCTCTACACAGGCCTATCCTTGAACCAGGTCTGAAAGCTTCAACTGGTACAAATTGCAGCAGTGCACCTGCTGACTGGGACGCCTGTGCAGGTACACATTCAGCCAGTGTGCACCAGCTGCATTGGTTGCCGGTTGAGTACCAAGTCAGGTTCAAGGTTATGATATTGACCTTTAAGGCCCTATG